AGATCTTGGCAAAGATTCTATTTTGGCGCTTGTCGTCAGTAGCAGGCGATTTGTTGTCCAGCCATCAGCACTGTTCGGTCCAAGGTAGAAGTACCTTTTCAGCAGTTTTGGCTTATCCGGGAGGCTTTGGAACGATGCAGGGCTGCTGGATGGAGAAAGTACTTGCTGGCATTGGATCAGGCGAAAGCTTTTGATCGAGTGAATCATGAATATCTGTGGTTGCTGCTTGGTAGATACGGCCTGCAGGGGAGGTTTATAGATTGGCTGAAGACATTATATAAAGGGGCTGAGAGCTTCCCATTTGTTAATGGTTGGGTTGGGCGGCCTTTTGAGGTTGGCTCTGGTGTGCGCCAGGGATGTCCTTTGAGCCCCCTGCTATATGCTTTCGCAATCGACCCCTTTGTAAGAAGGCTAGAGGGCGCATCGTTGTGCGGGGTGCCTCTGGGCATTGCTGGTGTGCCGCCTTTGAAGGTCGTTGCCTATGCTGATGATGTGTCTGTTATTATCTCTGGGACTGAGGAGGCGCAGGAGGTGGTCTCTGTGATAGAGCAGTACACGGAGGCTTCTGGCTCTAAAGTCAACCATGAAAAGAGTGAAGTTTTCTGGATGGGTGAGGAGGGTGAAAGCTTCGAACTTCCGGATGCCTTCCCAGAGCCCCAGCAGGAAATTAAAATTTTGGGCATCAAATTTGGTCCTGGTGACTATGGTCATCGAAACTGGGAAAGCAGGTTGGTAGTTGCCAATGCCAAAGTAGCAAGCTGGAAGAGATGGAGGCTTTCCTTGAGAGAGAGGGTTGACTTGATCAAAACTTACCTGATCCCGATCTTTTTATATGTCAGCTTCGTCTGTATCTTGCCAGTATCTCTCTATGCACGGGTCTACAGCTGTTTTTTCCAACTGTTATGGGGAAATAGGCTGAACCTGATCAAACGCAATGTAACTTACCTGTCCAGGCGGGAGGGTGGCCTAGGAATGGTCAACCCGATAGTTTTCTTTTCTTTGCTCTTTTTAAAGTACAATCTTGGTAATATGTTAGCAGAGACCCCGCCGGGATGGGTGGGTATTTTTCAGTCTTGGTTTAGGCCTTTTCTGCATTGCTGGGAAGATGGCGGCCCAGTGAAAAGTCTGAGAGTCCGACATGGCAAGCTCCCGCTTATGTTGCCCCGTGTCTGAAAATACTTCGGCAGTGGCAGGTGACAGTGGAGGATATCAGGTCCCTTCCCAGGAAGCTTCTGGGGGAGAGGATTTTGGCTTCTGCTTTCAGTGTGTCACTGGCCTTAAAGGATTGCCCAGGCTCCGTAATGAGGGAGGGATTGCGTTTAATTAACTTGGAGAGAATCCCTTTGAAGTTTAGGGATCAAGCCTGGCTCGCTTTCCATGGAAGGCTCTATGTGAGAGGGAACCTGAAGCACCGCCCTGTGGATGATCGAGATTGTCCTAGAGCAGAGTGTGTTGGTAAGGTGGAGTCTATGGACCACTTTCTGCTCCTGTGTCCCTTTAACATAGAGGTGTATAAAAGGGTGGGGAGGGTTCTGGGCATCCCCTTTCTCTATCGCATGAGTTATGCAGAGTGGGTGTACGGGGCATTCCCAGCTCACTGGGACTTTGATTTGGATACACTTTTTCTAGTTAGTATAGTTGTCCGTTACTTCACATGGAACGCACGGTGTCAGATTACCATCCGGAAGAAAGTCCTCCCTGTAGAGGTGGTGGTGCACGATATTCTGGGTGAGGTTGGGAAGATTCGGGGTCTTGAGAAGGGCAGGGAGCCTCGGGCGGTCTGGATAAGGGCGTGGAGGAATATCAGACCTGCCTTTGGTGAACTGTCCATCTCTGGGTGAGGGGGTCTTTCCTTATACTGTTCTTTTCACTCCCGTAGTTTTTGTTGATTAAGATCTTTTTTGAAGAAGGGCTGCATGCATAAGGGGGGCGGGGTGGTTTCTTGACCTCACAGGTTTGATGTCTGGTGTAGTGATGTGAGTGGTAGTACGATTTATTTCCCCAATTATGTCATGTTCATTTCTGAGACGTTTGCTTTTGTCTGACAGCAGATTTTGCTATGTTTATTTTCGTTTTGCTGTAAATATATATATAATTTTTTTATATTCTGTATAATATTTTATGTTGATTGATTGCGAGACTTTTAATAAAGAAAAATTGGGAAGAATGATCCCCTTACATTGGTGGTCAGTGGGAAGAATGATCCCCTTACATTGGTGGTCAGAATTCCACACTGCCAAGGGTTGTTGGACCTGGCACCAACACATGGGAGGTCATTTAGCCCCAGCTCAAAGAGCCTCTAGCCACCTCTAGAGGAATCCTTGTGTTCCATGGAACCCTGGATGAGAATGAATGTTGATCTGTTTAATAGAAACAAAAAAAGACTGTTTAACCTTGGCCAAAATCCAGTGCTGTCCTGTGCACATTTCATTGTTGCTTAATATTCCTGTGTCCGGTCTCCTGTTTATCATCTTATGTGGGAAGCTACACAGTGCTGACCGGTCCAGATATGCCTGCTTTCCTGTAGCAGCATCTGGCAAGAACTACAAGGCATTTGTGCCACTCTGTGCCCTCACACCTCTTCCACTTGTTTGCCTTACTAGGTGCCCTGAGCAGGAGCTGTAAGAGAGGCTGCCCTAATCTCTTCAGGCACCAGATACATGGGCATCCTATTATCTTAAGGTGTATGAAGACAGCTGAGTCCTGACCTGTACAATTTGTCCTTTTATGTTGGACCTTTAATTTATTGAGATGTTGTTTTGGTCCTCCAATGAACAAGTCTTGCAGTCCTCATTACACTGCACTACAAATATTTTTGGGCTGTTGGGTCTCCTGGATGTACAAGCTTCTGTCTTGGATAAGCTACAAAACGTCTTCAACGTTATAGAACAAGTCCAGCTAAATGTGACTAACTACTACTAGTTGTACCAGGACCTGGATATATGAGAGCCTTCAAAGACATACAGTATATGCGCTAAGAGCTTCCTGTGCTCTCTGCCTATGCACAGAGGGAAAATGACCAAAAATGTTTAAAGAAGAAGATAGGAGCACCTATATTTCTGGCATATCAACAGTTACATTGTGCTTAAAGTGGTTCTAAAGGCTGAAGGATTTTTACCTAGGTAACAAACATTCAGTGTGCTGCTCCCCTCGCAGTCCCCCCTTATAATACTTGAGCCCAATCTTGATCCAGCAATGTGCACAAGAGCAGTGGCTCTCCTGACTCCCTCCCTTCTCACTGGTTCAAACACAGTAGTGGGAGTGTTAGGAATGGACTGGCCAGCAATGGTGGGACTCACCTGCCTTTTGATCTGCAGTACCAGGGCTGGCCAGCGGGTGCTCCCAGCAATCAGAGACTCAACCTTTCAGCCAGCTAACACCTGGAACTGATGATGCTGGGGTATTTAAGGGATGGCCAGACCCACAGACTCTGCCTTGGTGTTTGTGTTTGTCCTGGGCCCTGTATCTGTCCTGCATCCTGTTTCTGTCCCTCTGCCTGACCCTCTGTACTACGCTGCTTGTTACCTGTTTTGATCTCTGGCTTGTGACCCTGACCATCCCTCTGCCTGACCCTCTGTACTACGCTGCTTGCTACCCTGCTGAACCTGGCCTGTGACCCCGACCATTCTCTGCTTGCTCCCCCTGTACCTACCTGCCCAATTGATATTGACCCGGCCTGCCTGACGACGCTTGCTTGTATGTACTGTTATCTGTGGGTGGTTTGGTTTGGTTTGGTTGCACTGTATTATGTTTTAGTATTGCACTGCGTTTATGTTTGTATGGTTAGTGTTAATAAATTGTATTGTTTATCACATATCTGAAGTCTGCGTTTCCCTGCATCAGTCACACACCTCTGGTCATACCTGGGAGCCCTGACATTACACCAAGGCCAATCCTGACCAGAAGTGGCTGCACAGGGAAGCCATCTTGGCTTGTTGATGGGAAGGATGGATCTTGATGAGGTTGAATATTTATATCTGCTAGTGTTTGATGACAGGGAGTATGCTTATCAAACTCTGAAGGAGTATACCCGGGGTGAACTGCTAGAATGTATACGGCTCGCTCATGTTCTAGTAGATCAGGGCACAGAGTTCTCTGAGATGCAGCCTTTGATTGAGGTTTGTGCTGAGTTGGTTTCATCTGGTTCCCCCGAATGCAGGGATGAATTTTTGCCACCATTTAGTGCAGACCAGGTAGAGTCCCTGGTGTGGTTATTAGAGGATGATGTGGGTTACTTTCTGGAGCGTTATTCCACATGTTCACCACAGACACTAAGAGATTGTATAAACGCAGTACAGTCATTGACCAGACAGGCTTTGTGTAAGCTCAGCTTTGTTCAACCCATTACTGCAGACATGGACAGATTTGTTGCACCCAGCCTCAGTCAGCTTACAAAGACCCAGTCCTGCTTCTAATCTATTTCCTCAAAACTCTATTCCTGCATTCCCAACAGCTCCTCCTGCCCTGCTATCTACCGCATGTCAGTACCCTGTTTCCCACTCGCTGCACCTATCCTGCCTTTAACCCTGTAAAAGAGCCCTCTGTAGCAACCGCTCCCTCTCCTGTTCCATCCTCCAGTTCTTCTCTGTCTCCAGCTGCTCCATTCGTTTGCAGACCTGCGTTTACTTGCAGTGCTCCAGTAGTTAAAACCAGAAAAAAGCGAAAATTCTTTCCAACCAATACCATCCTGCCAGTATCCAAACCGGTGAGCCTGCCTTCCGTGGTTCAGCCTGAAGCCTCTACTCGGCCTGAAGCCTCTACTCGGCCTGAAGCCTCTACTCGGCCTGAAGCCTCTACTCGGCCTGATGCCTCTACTCGGCCTGATGCCTCTACTCGGCCTGAAGCCTCTACTCGGCCTGAAGCCTCTACTCGGCCTGAAGCCTCTACTCGGCCTGAAGCCTCTACTCGGCCTGAAGCCTCTACTCGGCCTGAAGCCTCTACTCGGCCTGAAGCCTCTACTCGGCCTGAAGCCTCTACTCGGCCTGAAGCCTCTACTCGGCCTGAAGCCTCTACTCGGCCTGAAGCCTCTACTCGGCCTGAAGCCTCTACTCGGCCTGAAGCCTCTACTCAGCCGGACGCCGACATTCAGCCTGATGCCTCTACCCAGCATGATGAACTGATCCAGCCTGACGATCCTATTAGGCCAGTTGACTCGATGCCCGCTGTTGATCCAGATGATCCGGTACCTGATCCGGTGCCCCGCTGTCGAGCAAAATGACCTGATGCCTGGTGACCCAGTGCCCGCTGTCATACCTGGTGACCCGATGCCCGCTGTCGAGCCAGACAATCCGGTACCTGATGACCCGGTGCTCACTGTCGTGCCTGTTGACTCGGAGCCCACTGCCTTGCCAGATGACGCGGTGCTCGCTGTCGAGCCAAATGACCTGATGCCTGGTGACCCAGTGCCCGCTATCCAGCCAGACGATCCAATGTCTGACCCAGTGCCCGCGGTCATACCAGTTGACTCGGAGCCCACTGCCTTGCCAGATGATGCGGTGCCCGCTGTCGAGCCAAATGACCTGATGCCTGGTGACCCGATGCCCGCTGTCCAGCCAGACGATCCAATGTCTGACCCAGTGCCAGCGGTCATCCCAGTTGACTCGGAGCCCACGGTTGTGCCTGGTGACTCGGTGCCCGCCGCCCCGCCTGGGGGCCTGAGACCTGTCGTTCCGCCTGGGGGTCCGGCGCCCGCCACTCCGCCTGAGGGCCCGAGACCTGTCGCTCCGCCTGGGGGTCCGGCGCCCGCCGCTCCGCCTGAGGGCCCGAGACCTGTCGCTCCGCCTGGGGGTCCGGCGCCCGCCGCTCCGCCTGAGGGGCCCGAGACCTGTCGCTCCTCCTGGGGGTCCGGCGCCCGCCGCTCCGCCTGAGGGCCCGAGACCTGTCGCTCCGCCTGGGGGTCCGGCGCCCGCCGCTCCGCCTGAGGGCCCGAGACCTGTCGCTCCTCCTGGGGGTCCGGCGCCCGCCGCTCCGCCTGAGGGCCCGAGACCTGTCGCTCCGCCTGGGGGTCCAGCGCCCGCCGCTCCGCCTGAGGGCCCGAGACCTGTCGCTCCGCCTAGGGGTCCGGCACCCGCCGCTCCGCCTGGGGGCACGATGCCTGTCGCCCCGCCTGGGGGCACGATGCCTGTCGCCCCCCGCCTGGGGGCACGATGCCTGTCGCCCCGCCTGGGGGCACGATGCCTGTCGCCCCGCCTGGGGGCCCGATGCCCGTCGCCCCGCCTGGGGGCCCGGCGCCCGCCGCCCCGCCTGGGGGGCCCGGCGCCCGTCGCCCCGCCGGGGGCCCGGTGCCTGCTGCTTTCCGCCCGGGGGCCCGGGGCCTGCTGCTCCGCCCCGGGGCTGCCCGCCCCGGTGGCCTGCTGCTCCGCCCGGGGGCCCGGTGCCTGCTGCTCCGCCCGGGGGCCCGGTGCCTGCTGCTCCGCCGGGGGCCCGGTGCCTGCCGCCCCGCCCGGGTGCCCGGTGCCTGCCGCCCCGCCCGGGTGCCCGGTGCCTGCCGCCCCGCCCGGGTGCCCGGTGCCTGCCGCCCCGCCCGGGTGCCCGGTGCCTGCCCCCCCGCCCGGGTGCCCGGTGCCTGCCGCCCCGCCCGGGTGGCCCGGTGCCTGCCGCCCCGCCCGGGGGGCCCGGTTGCCTGCCGCCCCGCCCGGGGGCCCGGTGCCTGCCGCCCCGCCCGGGGGCCCGGTGCCTGCCGCCCCGCCCGGGGGCCCGGTGCCTGCCGCCCCGCCCGGGGGCCCGGTGCCTGCCGCCCCGCCCGGGGGGCCCGGTGCCTGCCGCCCCGCCCGGGGGCCCGGTGCCTGCCGCCCCGCCCGGGGGCCCGGTGCCTGCCGCCCCCGGGGGGCCCGGTGCCTGCCGCTTTCCGCCCGGGGGCCCGGTGCCTGCCGCTCCCGCCCGGGGGCCCGGTGCCTGCCGCTCCGCCCGGGGGCCCGGTGCCTGCCGCCCGGGGGGGCCCGGTGCCTGGCCGCCGCCCGGGGGCCCGGTGCCTGCCGCCCGGGGGCCCGGTGCCTGCCGCCCGGGGGCCCGTGCCTGCCGCCCGGGGGCCCGGTGCCTGCCGCCCGGGGGCCCGGTGCCTGCCGCCCGGGGGCCCCGGTGCCTGCCGCTCCGCCCGGGGGCCCCGGTGCCTGCCGCTCCGCCTGGTAATCCGATGTGCCTCTGCCCGGAGTCCTGACCGATGTGCCTCTGCCCGGAGTCCTGCCCGATGTGCCTCTGCCCGATGTGCCTCTGCCCGATGTGCCTCTGCCCGGTGTGCCTCTGCCCGGAGTGTCCTCCTGCCCGATGTGCCTCTGCCCGATGTGCCTCTGCCCGGAGTCCTGCCCGATGTGCCTCTGCCCGGTGTTGCCTCTGCCCGGAGTCCTGCCCGATGTGCCTCTGCCTGGTGTGCCTCTGCCCGATGTGCCTCTGCCTGGTGTGCCTCTGCCCGGTGTGCCTCTGCCCGGTGTGCCTCTGCTCGATGTGCCTCTGCCCAGAGTCCAGCCCGGTGTGCCTCTGCCCGGAGTCCAGCCCGGTGTGCCGCTGCCCGGAGTCCTGCCCGGTGTGCCAGTCTTTGTTATCCCGCCAGTTACCAGACCCGGGCGGTGGGAACATTTTGCCCAGCTAGGACTGTTTGGAGCGTCCTGAGGCCGCTCCTTGGGGGGGGGGGGGTACTGTTAGGAATGGACTGGCCAGCAATGGTGGGACTCACCTGCCTTTTGATCTGCAGTACCAGGGCTGGCCAGCGGGTGCTCCCAGCAATCAGAGACTCAACCTTTCAGCCAGCTAACACCTGGAACTGATGATGCTGGGGTATTTAAGGGATGGCCAGACCCACAGACTCTGCCTTGGTGTTGTGTTTGTCCTGGGCCCTGTATCTGTCCTGCATCCTGTTTCTGTCCCTCTGCCTGACCCTCTGTACTACGCTGCTTGTTACCTGTTTTGATCTCTGGCTTGTGACCCTGACCATCCCTCTGCCTGACCCTCTGTACTACGCTGCTTGCTACCTGCTGAACCTGGCCTGTGACCCCGACCATTCTCTGCTTGCTCCTGCTGTACCTATCTGCCCAATTGATATTGACCGGCCTGCCTGACGACGCTTGCTTGTATGTACTGTTATCTGTGGGTGGTTTGGTTTGGTTTGTTTGCACTGTATTATGTTTTAGTATTGCACTGCGTTTTATGTTTGTATGGTTAGTGTTAATAAAATATTGTATTGTTTATCACTTATCTGAAGTCTGCGTTTCCCTGCATCAGTCACACACCTCTGGGTCATACCTGGGAGCCCTGACAGGGAGCCATTGGCTCCTGCTGCTGTCAATAACAGCCAGCAAGGAGAGAGCAGGGGGCAGAGCTGAGCCTCCTATGGGGCTCAGGAGTAAGCACTGTGTGCTGCTCCACTCGCAGTCCCCCCTTATACTTACCTGAGCCCAATCTTGATCCAGCAATGTGCAGGAGAGCAGTGGTTCTCCTGACTCCCTCCCTTCTCACTGGTGTAAACACAGCAGTGGGAGCCATTGGCTTCTGTCAATCACAGCCAGTAAGGAGAGAGCAGGGGGCAAGGCTGAGCCTCTTATGGGGCTCAGGAGTAAGCACACATGAGTGTCCCCATAGTAAGCAGCTGGCTATGGTGGCATTCGGAGGTGGGGAGGAGCCAGGAGCGCGGACAGGGGACCCAAAAAGAGGAGGACCAGGACTGCTCTTTGCAAAACTATTGCACAGAGCAGCTAAATATAATAGTTTTTTTATTATTATCTTTACAATCACTTTACAGGGATTAAAACATGGATAACTTGGAGCAGGGCCCCCGAACCCCTCATGTATTGTATTGTTACTGTGTAAGCCATGTACCGGGTGGGCTCCCCAGGATACAGTGAAGTCACGACGAACGAGGGAAAGCAACCCCAACACCAACGTTTGTCACAACAGAATTTTACTTTAGATGTGGCAAATAAACACACAACCACAAATGCTGAGAGCATACAATAAATTTACATACACCCAGCCTAAAGTGCCTTGTGCTACCCAGCCTAAAGTGCCTTGTGCTGCACAGCACGGCGCCTCCTGATGGATGAAGGTAGAAGGTGTAGTAATTTACCTCCTGGCGGGCACAACTAAGCTGCCACACCTTACCTGTTATTACCCTAAAAGAGCAGGAATCAGTGTATGGGTGTACGGTATGGGCTAGTCTGCGGTGCAGCACAATAGCTTCCAATCTTACACAAATCTACAGTATTCCCCCTCCCATAACTGGTCCTGTAGCACGTGCCTGAGTATTCCTTTTGAGCAAAACGCCAGTCTGGCTTCAGTTTGTAGGATTTTATCAGCTCTCCAATGTGAAATGTCACTTTAAGTTATGGAGTCCTTCCAATGATCAGTAATAACACTTGTGGCCTGACACAAACAGAGACCATAACTAACTAACTATAGACCTGGACTCAGTCTCTAGGCGCCAACACTGAAATGAGGTGCGTGCACGATCTTACCAACCGGGGTCTGCTTTTCATCCGCTGGTGACTCTGAACAGAACAAATGTCTCTCCAACAAGCATGAGGTATCGCAGTGTATGTTGCTTTGTTCCTCTGCTCTCATCAGCATTCCTGACAGCAATCTTCCTTTCTCTGGACAGGATCAGGGTCTTAGACATGATCAGCTTCACTTAGCTGCAGCTCTGGTTACTGAGGGATGTTCTCACACTTGGATGCCATCAGATTCTCTGCTCACACAGCTCCTGCATTCACCATCCTCCAAAACATGGCTGCTGTCTCTCTCCTTCCTGTTCTCTAAACTCTGTGTGAAAAACCCCACCTCTTCATGAATATAGACATATATATGCAGTCTAAAGCTGTGTTAGGAAAACAGTGGCATCTTGTGGCTAAACCGCAGAATGTCACTCCAGAACATTTAATTTACTCCGCACAATAATTTACTGCACACAAACAGTGTTCAAACAATGAGAGCTGTTTCCCCATCTCACAACTGTACTGTCTCGTGTACTGTCTCCCATTATAATGTATAATGAGCAAACTGTTGGCGCTATATAAATACTGTATAATAATAATAATAATAACCGCTCTTGTATTCTGGTGTAGTAAATATGTTTTGGGGTTTTTTTTGTCTTGACATATGTTTTAAAGTGTATGTTAACATTAACAATGAATCTCTCTTATTTGTTCCCTTAATGTCTGTGAAATATATCAAATAAATGTTTTGTTATATACATTCTAAAGCATCCGTTCTCCACCTTTTTGCCCCAAAGGAACCCTTACAATGACTTTCAGGTCTCATGGAACTCTTGTTAAGATTAGTCTATTGGTTGTCATTGAGAAATTCCCCTTATGTTGGTGGTGGTCAATGGAAAGAATGTTCCCCGTACTTTGGTGGTCAGAATGCCATCCTTACAGTCACACTGCCAAGTGTTGTTGAACCTGGCACCGTCACATGGGAGGTCATTTAGCTCCAGCTCAAAGAGCCCCTAGCCACCTCTGGAGGACTCTTTGGGTTCCATGGAACCCTGCATGAGAATGTTTTTTCTAAAGGTTTATATACTAGTCCAGGGGTCTGCAACCTTTAAGACATAAAGAGCCACTTGGACCCGTTTTCCGAGAGGGAAAAAAAGACTGGGAGCCGCAAAACCATTGCAACATTTAAAACAAATCCGACACTGCATATATTGCAAAAAACG